ACTTCCTTGCGTACGGATGACAGCTGCGTATGAATTAATGTATTTTCTGGTACTTCACATCCAGAGACAGTTGTTAGCACTGTGTACCTGCCTCGAGGGTGCTTGACCAGTTAAACACAACGTGGTGCGATCATCCCCCTTGCGCGGAGCGAGGGTTCTCCACCCCGCACAACATGATCTACTCGACCACCATTATCTGGGGATTACATTTGAGAGGGGCGTCGTGACAGATATGAGCATACAGGCGTTTGTGGATGCATAGCAAGGCGGCAGACCGGAGGTAGGTATCAGGGGGGCTAGTGATGTGTGTGGGGGGGTGTGTGACTTGGTGTTCACGAACGCAGGAGTGCGTTACGCTTTTCACCACGGAAGCAGAGTATGTGGCAATTGCCGAGGTCTTCAAGGAAGGATTGTTGCCAGATGCGAGTATGCCGTGCATCCCGGTGTTCGAGGATAATCAGGGAGCGATTCAGATTGCGCACACCCTGATCACGAACTCCAACTCGAAGCACATCGATGTACGGCATCACATTATCAGGGAGCTGGTAGAGAGGAAGGAGATTTCAATTACTCATGTGCCGACACAATTTCAACATGCAGACTTCTTGACCAAGGTTATTAGCAAGGAGTCGTTTGCGTTGCACCGTGACTTTGTGATGAACTTGCAGTGAAGGAAATGTATTGGGGTCAATTCGTATTCTGTAGTGGAGAGAGAAAGAAAGAGACGGGATTGGACAAGAGAAAGAGAGGGTCTGGTGAAGATGGTAGGAGTTTTGGTAGTGTTGGGGGTTTCCTTGATTATTTTGGAGGAGTTTTGGTTGTGATGGGATTTTTCTTGATTGTATTGGAGGAGTTTTGGTTATGTTGGGATTTTTCTTGAGATTGTCTTGAGGGAAGTTTTCTTGTTTTGGAAGTGAGGGTAATATTGATATTTTGCCGGAGCATGACATGCATACGAGCAGGGGGGCTATCAGATATACTCGTAGCATAGCATGATGCGTGATATCTTACGCATACATGTACTGAAATTGCAGTGACGAGTGCTGAGGAACAGGAAGTTTCTTCATATTTTCCTTGGGAGTGTGACGGAATGGTGGAGATTCATGGAGATCTATCTCCTAGTATAGATATTCTACTTTGAGCGTGATGAGCGTGAACCGTGACTTTATGCCGTGACCGATTGACGAGCTGAAGCACGCCCCCGAAAATACAACACGTTTTCCTATACATCCCTACCCTACCACGGCCCGTCATGGCCAAGCTTCTCTCTACACTCCCAACACACAGAACTGGGCCACCCGAATTATCGATCAGTCTCCCTCCGTGGGCGACAGAAATATCAATCAAGGCAATTCGAAAGAAAACAATACACTTCCAGGGCAAACGATACATCCCCGTCACACTACAAACCCCACAAAACTGTCGTTTTCTCCTGCTTGGAGAAGTACACGGCGCCAGAATGGCGGGGGTGAAGATACACACACAGCAGTGATGTGTGGGAGGGCATTAGGTCTCTGTATATGCCCATCGGACACATTTTGGCACCAGAACGAACACGGCCGCAGATTTAGAAGGAAAAAATGTACAAGCGAACGAAATATCTCCGAAACCCGAGTCGTTTTTCCGACGGGGGTGATGACCAAGGTATGCAAATGACCAAGGTATGCAACCACTGTGCGTCTAGACTACTGCTGTAGCTACACCCAGCCGGCCCCGCCAGCCCCGGCCTCCCTTTCAGTGTTGCTCGTACCTGCCTCCACCGCTTGTACTACGTCGATCGGCCGCCGCCGCCGCTGCTGCTGCTGCCAATCTTTTTTTGTCCTGTTGCGCGCCGCCAACGTCATCCTCCCTGCTTGGGTTGCAGGATTGCAGAAGCGGTCGATATTGTGAAATATTGATGTTGATGTTACGTGCCTCTCTGGCTCTTCTCCCCGAACAGCAGCAGTATCGGTGAGGAAACCACGCAAGCTTGGCTGACCCCATACGAATACACACTTACCAACATTCACCCCTAAAATCACTTTGCCACGCTCGCACACTCACCCCCCCCAGCTGGCGCTGTGATTGGCCACCAAATTCCACAGTCCCATGCTCGTTTCAATTCGCCGTTCCCTTCTTTTCGCGCCTTGCCAAAAATCGAACACAACAATAGCAAAGCGTTCTCGAATGTGGTGATCGCGGAAGCTGCAGTTTTTTACTCCCCAAGGTAGGCCCTCCGGTTGAATCATGCTGCTCTCTGTGCAAAGTTGAAATAACGGCTTCCTCTGCATGGGCCCTCGGCGTAAAAAAACATGAACGATTTGCAGTCTAGACTATGGAGTCTACATCTTCGTAGGTAATATAATTGTGATGTATCGTAGCTGTCACTGCTGTGTATCCAAGCGTGCAGAGTAAAACTAGAAGTACGGCGCCCCCCCCCGCTGTGAGGGCGGCGGGGCCCGAACAACACCGCTATTGCACAGAGGTTCATGGTCATGATGGATGAGTCGGCGTACGCCACCAATTCCTCGATAGTTTTGCCGGACAGCGCATCGACATGCCGTCAGGCTCTGAAGTGCTTTCCCTGGTCCTCCCTTACTTTGGATTTTCCCGCCACCCCTTTGGACGCAACTCGGGAGTGCAGCGCAGTTCATGCTTGAGCAATGGCGTCTGCTGAGATGTTGACATTCTGTTGCCTACTGCTATGGTTGGTGGGCTCGGCGCAAGTTTTTCTTGCGCTCACTCAGGGTCGACTCTCTGGACGTCCTGAACGCAAAGGAAAATATTTGTTGATGTGATGCCGCAACAAGCTGCGGGTGTAGTCTCTCGACAAGAACATTTCAATCGAGAAGACCATGCCGAAAGCGGTGTAGCGAATCACCTCTCCCACCGTGGAGAACTTGTCGCTGAATCCCGCGCGGACACCCCCCAATGAGAATGAAATCGGAATACGCGACTCGTGGTGCAGTTGGCCATAAAGTCGTGTTGAACCGGGGAGCAGATGTACATGGCTTTGTCTATGGCGAATTACCGGCAACGATCGGAGGTCGTGTCCTTGGGATGGTAGCCGGTCGTGCAGGGAGATGGATGCCGAAAATACATTTGAGTGAGGAGGAAGGAGACCTGGTTGCAGCATTGCCTTCCCGGACCCCGATCCCGGGACTCACCTCCAACACGTGCACTGAGAGCGCGGTCCGTTCTATCGAATGATTCCTCGGCTATCGAGAGCTTCGCCGGGCAGCTTATGCAGGGTTTCACAACGGATTGGCGCTGACGCAGCATTTTCACGCGCAGGGTGCCAGGGTTTGATCCAGGTGTCCGCGAAAACCTACCTACTGGCACCGAGGACCGCGTCTGGAGCTTCTTGCTTGGCAAGCGGCGACGCATTATGTAGGGTGGCTGTACCCTGACCTTTGGGTGATAGCTCTCATGGACTGCACCAGGTTGACTTTCGTGGAAGAAGGCACCTCCCTCTGCTGGGCTGGTTCTGGTGTCTGTGGAATTCCTTCGAGCAGAGTTAAGCGCTCCAGCGACGAATGCCGGTGGGCGTCGGGTTCCGCTCACGACAAGCTGTTATTTTAGAGCTCAAATACAACGGTACGCCTGCGCTTCCTTGGCTCCAGCGCATGTCGAGTTCCACCACATTGCCGGTCACACAAGTATGTCGATTTAGGGTGGGTCCGGGGCCTTGTTCTTGTTCTGGAAGGTACCGAGCTTCATCTTCAAGATGCTCGTGTAATCGATTGGTTCAACTCGTGAAACGCACACCTTCGGACGATGTGCCACTCGGAGTCGACTCTTCCACAAATCGATTTTCAAGGAAGGTCACCATGTGGAGATAGCGAGCAACTCGTGTGGGAGCGGTGCAAAATAACGGCGTGCTGCTGGATCTAGCACCACTGCGTTAACTTGTGTCGCGGGTAGTCTCTGTAGAGGTGGCCACCTTCGGGGATGGCTCGCGAGTTTTGTTTGACGCGATAGCGCCTCCCGCGCCAGAGCGCAGGTTCTTCCGCAAATTCCGCAGGATAGCCCTCCTGTCGCAGGATCGGAGCGCCCCCGTGAACCGCGCGATTTTGGACGACGGTCGGGAGAAGGCGCCGGTCTCGCTGCGTGGGATGCAACTCAGAGGGTGACATGGGTCGTGCTTAACCGGGACATGCTTCCATCTGGCCCTTGGACCTTGGCCGGCCTCGAGGCGGTGAATTTCTAATGGCGATTCGGTACCTCGTGTCCACCCCATGTTGAGTACGCTCGGTGGTTTGGCGGCGAAACTGATGGTGTTGTACAGGACGCTCTCGACTCATTGGACCCCCAGCTTTGGTTAACGATCCTCGACAACACAGCAACGGTGGCCTGCGGGGTTCGTTTTGTCTCCTTGTAGATGCCGAGAGGGGCCAGGACGTTTGGGCCAACAGCGGTGTTCCGAAAGGAAGGTGCTATGGCCCTGTAGCTTCAAACACTTCATGCGGTACATGTACCTCCCTCGATCCTCGGGGCTAACCTACTGTCTACGGGCTGCGCGTACTCCAAGGGAGTGATCCCGCTAGCGTCGACAATGGCGAAGGAATATCCGGTTTTTCGTACCATTCTCGTCCGGGACAGGTATCATGGTGCATCAACTTCGAACGGACAACGGGATTTGGGCGCACACTCCACATTACGCACCGCCAATCTTTCAAACGAAGAGTCGTTTCGTGCCCGCCTAAAACGTGGAAGCGCAGAACTAACGGGCTCGTTAGATCAACCAAACCTCCTTAACTAAGTACAAGAGTTGACCTCCGGACTCGTTTTTTGGACAATGGATGTAAATGTGCATGCCTCAGAAGCTGAGAAGCATGACACGCGTTTCATGTGACGGTGCAGAGAATTTATTTTCGTGTCCCTTTACAGTGTATAATCTACATTTTTTCTTTAGCCCGGTTTGCGGTCGTGGCACGGTGGTGCTGTATAATTAAGGATGAAGGGGAACGGTGGGTTCTTGGCGCTTGCCCTTGAGCTTCTTGTGAAGGCCCTCGGGTGATCACAAAAACATCAGGCGAAAATCAACAAAGCGGGGTGTTCCACAATAATAATGATCAAACAGAGAGATGACACACTGCTTTCGTTGTTGCTGGGTTGTCTTCTGGTTTCAGCAATCAGAGTCGCTTTGGTCAACCAAACGAGTGATAGGAGCGTCTTGCTGGCTGCAACACGCTTCTTCTGTGATGTTGGAGACACCTTGTTGATGGTGTCGAAAACTCGGGGAGATCGTACATGCTGCTGGCAGAAAGTGTTCGTTTTGACCATCTTCGGGATGTCATTTGGAAATGAAGCGATGAGCAGTGTTCACCATTCAGGGTTCACCTGGGATGGTCCTACAGTACTCCGTTTCGGATCCGCATTGTTGATGTCTGCTCTTCGTTTTCGTACTGCATTCTGACGGCGCTCAACGCGGGTAGCAATACGCACGCAACGCGTTGTAAAGCGGATGGATGTTGGAATGAATCTCTGACTGCATAGTCTACATAGGCTGGATAACACAAGATCCCACACTGCCTGGACCGACTTTCGAAGCCTGATTCTCCACAGCAGAAAGAGTGGCAGTGTTAAAAGTGGTTGCGATGGGCCCTTCTTGCTAGCCTCCCGAGAACGCATTGTTATATTCACGGATCATTCATCGTGGAGTTTTCGAGCTTTGAAAATCGGTCCAGGGGTTGTGATATCTCTGCCACCTACGTATGCATAGGTGTCATTTGTTTTTGTAAACGTGAATACACCGGCAAAAATTTATCAGGCATACAAAGTGGTCGAGGGTTCCGACTTTACATAATGCATTCTCGTCATTTTCGCCCAGAATTGAACACATCAATATCAGTTACCATTGTAGTACAAAAAACAATATCAGAACCACGTCGAGCTCTCACTGGCATTGGGCACGCCTAGCTTCACCGTAATCTCGCGGGAATACCAAAAAAAGACGCTCGTGTAGATACAGCTGACGCAGCTGCCAAGAAAACAGCATGCGGCGTGATAAAGGCATGTCTACCATAAACGCCGATATCCAACCACCGGAGTATCCACGAAGGTACTATCATTTTCAGCTTCCATCGAATTCGTGCTCGACCAGCTTCCAGGGAACCAGATAATAAAACCCAGAATCTAACATTTTTTAGCCCCGGCTGGGTTAGGGTTCGTTCGTCGAACACAACATGCACGTGCTACCCAAGCATACAGAGATTAGTAATACAGCCATTTCTTTTCTCGATCGCGACTCAACACCCCTCACGCGATAACACTATCAACGGCGATGCCCAACCGCCTTCTTATGACACAAACCTGTTAAGGAGTGTTGCTGTATGGCACAGATAGGGTACACAGTCGGTCTAGATTAAGATGGGGGACGTCAGGAGGTAT